CTATCACAATTAGGTGTAGGTGCGCAACTACATTTTATTATGATCAGATCATATGAACTATCTAATTTGGGAGTAATATTTGATAGACTAAACTCTTAGTGATCCAAAATGTATAGGAATTCGACATGGCACATTCACGAGAATGGATAATCATCGAGGATACGGATGAAGAAGAGGAAGTTTCATTCCCCATGATGGTAGGCGATCCTTACTACCCTATAAATCCAACCACCTTTCATCCAATACCTTCTGACGATGGAGCACTGTTACCTTCCAACGAATGGGAAGAGAGTGAACCAATGGAAGAAAGCGAATCAATGGAGAAGACAGAATCAGTGGCATCATCTTTACCACAAATGAACACTCCTTACCGTCAAGTTCCAGGAGGAGCAAAAATCAAACACACGACACGTAAATCCATACCGATATGGCAAAATATTAAGAAGAACGAGAAGGCGACATCTTCAGGAAGTCATAGAGTTCAAGATGAACCTGTACGGATCGCGAAAACCATTGATAGGTGGGTGGCAGAAGAAAGAGCTGCTAAGATGTATGAAACTGGTCAATCATCTCGACCACATCTCCCACATTCTTTTGAAGTTAACACTTTATCTCAATTGTTTGAGAAAAGTGTGAAAATTGAAGATAAGATGGAAATTTTCGAAAGAAGGGTTACTCATCTCTCTGGAAGATTACGAAGGCTAGAAGGACAAAGGACGCGAGATCAGGAATCGGTGATGGATGTCCATCATCGTATAAATTTCGCTTATAACGATATGATTACTCACGATGCAAGGATTGCAGAGTTAGAGCTCTACAATCAAACCTCAAGAAATGAAGAACGCACGGGAAGTCTTGAGCATAGAACTCAAGCACTTGAGGAGCAAGTGGTTAATGTCACTGACGTGCTAGGTTATCACTTAGGTTTCTGGTAGATAAGCTGAAACTAGTGGTTGTGTAAATAGAGAAATCAGACTAGTTAAGGCAAGAAGGGTAAAGTTTATAGCAAGGATGTAGAAAACCTTGCAAATTTTGCAATGTTTATAGAAACTTTTCTCTTATAAGCCTAAATAAACTGATGTAACCGCTGGTAATAATATGAAGCATATATTACAGTAATCATTATGTTATCCATTATGTTTTACACTTTGAAGAATAATTGAAGTATTTAGTACTCGTGTATTAAATGACTGACAAAACTCATAAAATTCTTATTATTTATAATAGGAACTAAAACAAAAATGCCTAGAAGGAGTAGTGCTCGGCTAAACCCTAACCGACGATCAGCACCACAACAACAACCACCAGAACAAAACCCCCCAATAAGTACAACACAACTGGAAGAAATCATAGCTCAAAGAATTGCTGCGGCTCTATCTAATGTCACAAGAGATAGAGTTAGAAATGAAAGCCATGTAGGGACCGCTAGAACGTGTACCTACAAAGATTTTATGAATTGCAGGCCAAAAAGCTTTCATGGAAATGAAGGAGTAGTTAATTTGACTAGGTGGATAGAAAAGACCGAGTCCGTCTTTCAAATAAGCTTCTGTCCAGATGATTGTAAAGTACGATTTGCAGCATGTACTTTCGCTGATGTAGCACTTACATGGTGGAACAGCCATGTGAATACAATGGGAATTGATACTGCAATTTCCATGAAATGGGAAGAGCTAAAAATGATGCTAGTAGAAGAGTAGTGTCCTAGGGAGGAGATACATAAACCGAAACAAGAATTGTGGACCCTAACCATGAAGGGGTCAGAGATAAAAGCTTATACCGCTAGATTTAATGATCTTGCAGTAATGTGTCCAGCACTTGTAACCCCTGAATATAAGAAGATTGAGCGATATATCTTGGGTTTAGCATCTCAAATCAAAGGCATGGTGATCGCATCAAAGCCTACGACCGATGACAGCACCAAGAGAATAGCTCATCAGCTAACCCTCACAGAGATCCAAGGAACAGAAGTGGTCTCAAAGGCTGAGTCTCCCAAATCTTGAACAAACAAGTGCAAGTTTAATGGGAAGAATCCCAAACAATCATCTGAGAAAAGACAAGAAGTGGCAACCAATTATGCAGCCACGACAGCAGCACCCACACAACCAAAAATCTTCATGGTGCAATCACTGCAACCGTCATCATCCAGGTGACTGTTTTGTCTGCACAAAGTGCAAGAAAAAGGGGCATACTGCTAGTCACTGTAGGAGCACAACACCTGCAACAGTCAATCAGCAAACAAATACTGGAACAGGCCGTGGTGAAGGAAGAAAGTGCTATGAGTGTGGAGAGGTTGGACACATCAAGAAAGAATGTCTAAAGTTAAGGAATCAAGGAGGCATAGGGGCGTGGCAGGGCATTCATGATCGGAAGCAGAGAAGCTATCCAGGACCCTTCGGTTGTATCTGGTACATTTCTCATAGATAATTTATATGCTACCATACTCTTCGACTCTGGAGCAGATAGAAGTTTTATAACTCCGACGTTTAGAAAATTGTTAAGTCATGAGTCTAGCAAATTAAAAGAAATCTATGAAGTAGAAATCGCTAACGGTCAAACCGAGAAAACACATGAAATCCTAGAAAACTGTCTGTTAACTCTTAAAATGCATATGGAGTCAAAACTTGTGGACTCACCAACTTTATGTTGACGTATTCTAAAATGCATATGTTTTCAGGAACTTGAAAAGCTGGTATGTATTCAAACAGGAGAAGTTTTACTATTACCTTTCTATTCATTAAGAAGTATGCCATAGTCGAATATTATGTAATAGGTTCTAGAAAAACAGTTATGTAACTTTCAATTATCAATAAAGGTATGTATTTTCTTTAGTACTGTTCATTGTATGTTATATAACTGTGATATGAAGAATGACGTTACACCACCCGATGTTTCCGCCGATGGCTGGGGGTGTGACAAAAACACCCTCCTTTCTTCCGAAAATCATCAAAAATCACCTCCGGAGGTTGTTTTGGAACATCTAAAGCACGTTTTTCATCGGATCTAACAACGTTGTTCTTGAGTTTACGACCGTAAACCCTTCAAATCTTCAAATCTTTAAAGACCGTAAACCCGTTTACGGTTGTACACTCTACAAACCTTCATAGGTCCTCCAAGAACATCGTTCACGGTCGTAAACCCTTCAAGGGACTGTTCACGGCCGAGAACAGTTCACGGCCGGAAACCCTTCACGGCTGCAAACTCCTTCACACCGTGAATCTTGGCTGCAAACACACTTTTCGGATTCAGTCGAGTCCCGGTAACATTCCTAAACTGAAAGTAAGTGTTTTTCCAACACTATAAATAGTGGTTTCACTAATAAAATACATATATGTATTAATTGTATTAGGATCCCGTTGAGTGTCGCGTACATGAACTCAAGGGTCTTCACTCCTAGTTTTCGCTGTCCGACTGTTCACATGACTAACAGTGAGTTCATACCCCTATATTTTTATGATTTGAAATGTTTTCAGGGGGAGAGTACAAGCCAAACACAAATGATTTTGTGTATTTATATAAAAAGGATTTCAACACATTTAAAACTAATACAATTGATACAACTTTACAGCTTTCACATGTTTATAAAATATTTAGATATTTTATCCCTTTTGTAACGTGTTGAGCATAAGGGACTTTTTCAATCTACAGTCGAAATTGCATAGTTTTCAGATTAATACGTAAATTAAGAAACACATCTTACATACAAAACTATAATATGTATAGTTTGGGGTTTCAATACACAGTCTTATGAATTCAGAGTTTTACATAGCAAAAGATATAAACTATGATAGATTTAGTTTATGATATACATTACTACAAGAGTACAACATTTAATAATTATTTAAGTATAATTATTACCTATAACAGTATACACACTGGTTTAAATACAGTAGACCAATACAGAACCACACGTAAACTAGTTAATACAGGATTGCAAGACAACATTTCAATTGTACCTTTCGGGGTACAGGCTAAATCCTATCATAGTATAACCAGAGTCTCCTAGAGGGAGAGCATGAGATTTGTGAATAGATATATTCGGGACTGACAATCCCACACCTGAACTGCTAGCTACAGTTAGGCAGGCATGCCTAGGGTGACAAATGTCATATATCTGACACTTAAAGAACGTCGTAAAGGTCACTAGGTCATATCAAGCATGGTTATACGACTCACAATAGTATAAACTAACCTTATTGTTTATGGGATTTCATTCTTCATTAGTTATATTTTCATTAATAAAACTAGTTCATGATACAACTGGAGGATTCCAGGGATTTTAACTTGTAGTTTCATTTTAAGTAATGAAACTACTATTCATACTGGTAGTAACCAGGGTTTTTAAACAAAACATTCTATACATTACTGGTGATAGCCATGGTTTTCATACAAAAGGGTTTTCATTCAAAAACAACGTTATACAATACAGCTGGTGGAAATCAGACATGCAAACTAATACATTATACACTACTACAGAACACAGTAATAAACATATATGTTAGAAAATATCGGATTTTCTTTGAAAGCATACAAACATTATACAGATTCAGTGACATGTTTTCATTACAAAAACATGCTTATGAACTCACCAGCTTTTATGTTGATACTCTCTTTTCAAAACAACTTGTATTCTCAGGGAATCAGTAGACAGGTACTTTGGCAGACTTTTGAGAAGACGGAGCGTATAGAGACTCGTCTTTATTTTGCTACTTTTGATGTATATAAATATGAAGCAAACAGATGTAAATACCTATATATATATATATATATATATATATATATATATATATATATATATATATATATATATAATATATATATAATGGTTGTGTTTACTTTGATTACTATGATGCAATTGTTGTGATACTACATATGACGTCATCCACTCCCGAACGTTTCTGCCGTTCCGGTTTCGGGGTGTGACACCACCATTATATAAACCATAATTAACATATGTCTTAACCATGAAATATCTAACTTCATAAAAAAGGGATAACAGTTGCCTACACTAAGTTTTTCCATGCAATAACATTCTCCTTGGCCATGTCCATTACATCTTCCATCTTTTCTCTGGGAATGGTCATGTTTAGCATATGCTTGATGTATGCTATTCGATCATCACTGTTGACATTGATTGTTCTGTTACAAAGATATGAATAAGCTTCTCAACTCTTTTGGATGGTGAGTTCATCATGAAGTGGGGGAAATTGGTTGGCACATATACTGGCTTGTGTTCTACTTACAGATGTTCAATCTCACGAAATTGATGTGCCCTAACCATTGCTTTGAAATTTCCAAAAGCATCATCATCCAAAATTGGAGTCATCGACAAACCACAATGTTGTCCAGTTGGCATATGATACCAGTATCCCATAGTTGTATAACCCAAACTTTTAGAAAAACTACCAAGCAATTCCATGTCAAGAAAATTGATGTTGACAAAAGTAATAAATTGAACTTTTGTTTTTTCATAAGATTTACCTGGATAATCGGTAAAATATCCGCCATGGACAACTCTAATGGTGAACCTCTTGTTGGTGGTACGGATTGATCGTTACAATGTCAGGTAGGGGTGTTAGTACGGGTTTAGGACCACAATGGGCTTATAATAGGTGTATGGGTTCTAGGTGGTCGGTTGGTGGTACAGGTTGATCGTTACAATGTCAGGTAGGCGTGTTGGTACGGGTTTAGGACCACAATGGGTTTATAATAGGTGTATGGGTTCCAGGTGGTCGGTTGGTGGTGCGGGTTGATCGTTACAATGTCAGGTACGGGTGCTGGTACGGGTTTAGGACCACAATGGGTTTATAATAGGTGTATGGGTTCCAGGTGGTCGGTTGGTGGTACGGGTTGATTGTTACAATGTCAGGTAGGGGTGTTGGTACGGGTTTAGGACCACAATGGGTTTATAATAGGTATATAGGTTCCAGGTGCTTGGTTGGTGGTACGGGTTGATCGTTACAATGTCAGGTAGGGGTGTTGGTGCGGGTTTAGGACCACAATGGGTTTATAATAGGTGTATGGGTTCCAGGTTGTTGGTTGGTGGTACGGGTTGATCGTTACAATGTTAGGTAGGGATGTTGGTACGGGTTTAGGACCATAATGGGTTTATAATAGGTGTACGGGTTCCAGGTCGTCGGTTGGTGGTACGGGTTGATCGTTACAATGTCAGGTAGGGGTGTTGGTACGGGTTTAGGACCACAATGGGTTTATAATAGGTGTATAGGTTCCAGGTGGTTGGTTGGTGGTACGGGTTGATCGTTACAATGTCAGGTAGGGGTGTTGGTGCGGGTTTAGGACCACAATGGGTTTATAATAGGTGTATGGGTTCCAGGTTGTTGGTTGGTGGTACGGGTTGATCGTTACAATGTTAGGTAGGGATGTTGGTACGGGTTTAGGACCATAATGGGTTTATAATAGGTGTATGGGTTCCAGGTGGTCGATTGGTGGTACGTGTTGATAGTTACAATTTCAGGTAGGGGTGTTGGTACATGTTTAGGACCACAATGGGTTTATAATAGGTGTATGGGTTCCAGGTGGTCGGTTGGTGGTACGGGTTGATCGTTACATTTGTTTGGTAGGGGTGTTGGTACGGGTTTAGGACCACAATGAGTTTATAATAGGTGTATGGGTTCCAGGTGGTCGGTTGGTGGTACGGGTTAATCGTTACAATGTCAGGTAGGGGTGTTGATACGGGTTTAACAAAGTTTTTACATAGAAGAATAAATGTTAGTAAGGTACGTGTGTAATACAATTGGGTAAATCAATGGTATATATATTTAGGGCATATAAATTATTATGAAAAATTAGTAAGCTAACTAGACCTTATTCTTATTTTCGTTTTATTATACTATTTTCCCATTGTATATACATAATTAAATGTTAAATATTTTTTATTTCCAATAGTCATATAGTTGTATCCTAACGTAAAATTGTTAATTTACAAGGACCAAATTTGTAACATTTCTAGTAATATCAAATAACTCGTAATAATGTTTCTCGTCGTGTGGGTTCACTATGAGATCAAAATTTGGAAAACATTTGAATTTGTCAATCAAAATTAAGCAAATATAATAGGAGGCAAACATTTTTTCCATTTTGTTTTGGGCTCCAAATCAAGGCGTGAATTATTCATCTATCTCACTGCCAAAACTATGAAGATCAATCCATCAGATCAAGGAAATTCCGGTAAATTTGGTAACAACCCTCAATTTAGGACGTACTAACAATGTAATGTTTAAAAGACTTTGATTTTTTAAACCATTGTATGGTTTTTCTCTAGGTTATATCCCAGTTGGATTATAATTCAGTTCATAATTCGACAACATTCATCATGCATTTCTACTTTAAGTATATTCTTTGTGTATGGTTTCAATGTTATTGATTGTATTGATTAGGGGATTATACATAAAACAAAAAAAATTGATTCTTCATATTACTGTGCTTGTTGCACAACAAATGTTCGATGAAATGTGTATGTGAAATTTTGTATGTAACATAAGTTACTCATACCTCTTCATTAAACATATAAGTAATCAAACTTATTTCATATGTTTCATGTCAAGAGAAGAATCATGGAGGTGAACAAGGAACAACATGAGGATATGCCCGACTATGATATGGAATATGAGCAAGATGATGGAACCCAAGTTTATGAATCGGACATAGAAGATCGTGAAAATAAGGACATTGACTACTATAGCCATTCAGATTCGGAAGAAGAAATCCAAAGCACAGTTCCTACAAGATCAACTAGGAAGAGGGGTCTGACTCGATTACCAAAGCTGAAGACCGAGTATGTCAATTCTGCTTGTAGAAAAAAACGGGTCAAGTTTGATGAATTCGGTAAGTTTACAGGGAAGAATAATGCATTGTTTGTTAGTTATTTGGGAGATCTTCTCCACGAGAACGTGGGATTAAGTGCTCTTTGCTGGAAGAAAGTAAAACCGGAAGTGAAGGACAGACTTTGGGAAGAGATTACAGTAAATATTTTTTTCACTTTTTTTAACTGCATCTCATATATTTTTTTACAAATCATGTATTAAATACTAACAAATTCATTATTGTTTCATTTTAGCGCTATTTTGAAGTTGATGAAATTGGAAAACAATTTGTGATTAATAGGCTTGGTTACCTTCTACGAAACTTCAGAAGGAAATTGTATGCAGCTTACATCAAGCCACATCTAGGCAATTCCAAAAAGCTTGGAGAAATCCTTGTTCGATATCGTGCAAATAATTACTGAAAAAGATGATTGGAACAAATTCGTCACATATACGCATTCTGAAGAGTTTAATGTTACAACTTGTTTCCAAAAATTCTTCATTTATTTATCATAAAATTACCAAAAAGTGATTGACAAAACTTTTTTTTGATAGGTTGTGTCACAAAAGACTATCAAAGCGCAAAAGATGTCAAAGTATGCTCATCGGATGGGAAGAGGGGGTATACTACTCTTAGGCGGAAGTTGGTAAGCTTTGTTTTTAGCTATATGATCCTATTATATTACCTTCATAGAATTGTACTTAACATAATTTTACTTTATATTGTTTACAATTTAATTTTTTTTATCAAGATTGAAGAGAAAGTGATTTCAAAGGAAGAAATGCCCCCAAGGTCAATTATGTGGTGTAAAGGACGTGAAAGTAAAGGAGAATTTAAGGATGAAGATGTTAAACTCATGGCGGATAAACTAGTAACTTCAATAAACTTTTTTATTACTATTACTGTAAAGATTTTAATCAGTTTTATTAGGACAATAATTATTAATATTTTGTGTGCTAGATTGAAAAAGAAAAGTAGATAAAAGAAGGACAAGTAAATGTTGAACCAGGCACGGATGCCATGACCTTAGTTTTTGGCAAGGAAAAGGGCGGATTTTTAAGGGTGTCGGCACAGGAGTCACTTACAACAGATATTTCAATGTTCCTCGCAGCAAAGGATCATCTAAGGAAGAAATTAAATATCTTAAAGGTGCACTGCATAATGGAAAACTTGAACTTGAGAAAAAAGATGTTGAACTCAAGGCTTTGTCTACAATGGTTAATGAACAAAATCAAACACTAAAGCTAGTTTTGGCTCATCTTAATGCAAAAAGAGCTGACTTTCCAAATCTGTCTCATACAGTTGTAAGTAATCTTATTAACAACATCTATTGTCAATGTTACTTGTAAATTGCATTTCTTTTAGACATTTTCCCTGTTTCTTTATATTTTCTAGGGTATTTCAAGTGACAAGATTGTTGAAAGTAGTGAAAAGACTCATGTTAGTCTCAAAATCAAGGAGCCATCAGAACCTGTAACACCAGTATGTTATCATCTTATAAGATCATCATTGATATACTTTTTTTGGTACTAATTTTTGTTTTTTCACTTGGGACTTTAACTTATTTAGGTTATTGCAAAACCCACCAAGAAACAAGTTCAAACCAATTCTGCAACTGCAACTCCCGATACACAATTGATTTCTATGAAATCTGCAACAATAGTATATACTAACTTTACAGTTTTCAATACTTTTAATTTATCTTTTATATTAAAATATAATTTTACATATATGTCTTAAATCTTTATATTAGGCAGATACAAAACCCACCAGAAAAGATGTTGAGTCTAAGACTGCCACTATCAATCCTGACATACCAACAGTTTCACCAAATAAACCCCCTTCACCAGGTCAGTGTTTTTTTACATGTTGAATATACATTTCTGTCTTTTTTTCCTGATTCTAATATTACTTACCATTGTATCCAATCAAGTGTAGTCTATCATATCCGTATAAAAGGAACATCATTGCTCGTGGTACTGTTCACTTATCATTAGAAAGACAATTCATTCATGGAGTTCCTCCACAAGATGATTACTATAACGTTTCCCTTGATGAAGTGGTAATAAAACATGCATTTCTACCCCATAAAACTGGAGAATTCACATTAGTTGAGGATGCATATAAAAGTTTTATTCCATGGCCAAAATACCTTGTGCAAACCGAGTCAAAGGTTTGTTTAATTATGTTCACTACTTTGTGCATTACACTTTATTTCTTCATAAAGTAGTATACTAAGTTTTTGATGAACTCATTTTTTTGTTTCAATGTTGTTGTTATAGGTAGCAGAAATTATATCACATCAAGAACATCAACATCAAAACTCAAAGAAAAGGAAACCAACTTACATATCATCTGATGCCTTTCTCAAGAAGACAAGGAGCAATACAAATAAGATAAATGCCTAGTTATGTTTAAGTTTTGGTTTATGATGTGTTTGATTTTTTACCATTATTTAAATTCTGGAAATTAGGACAATTTTTTTTGGTATTTTAATTAGGAATTTAATGTATGGATTTGGATTTCAATTATTACTAATATCAAATTATGAATTTTGCTTTTGTTTCATATTGTTGGGTTTGGTTACTTTAATTT